GTGAACTAGCAAATAAGCATCTGGATATTATTAGTCTATATATATATATATATATATATATATATATATATATATATATATATATATATATATATATATATTACGTATATATATATATATATATATATATATATATATATATATATATATATATATATATATATATATATATATATGTATGTGTATATATATATATATAATATATGTATGTATATATATGTGTACGTGTGTACGTACGTGTTTGTGTCATCAGTGTATAATAAGAAAGAAAGACATTCAAGTGATACAGAAGACTATAACATATGAAGGTTAACATGAATTACCAAAGACTTTTGGACAGAATGATTATTATAAGGAAAAGAAAGAAAGAAAGAAAGAAAGAAAGAAAGAAAGAAAGAAAGAAAGAAAGATATTCAAGTGATACAGAAGACTATAACATATGAAGGTTAACATGAATTACCAAAGACTTTTGGACAGAATGATTATTATAAGGAAAAGAAAGAAAGAAAGAAAGAAAGAAAGAAAGAAAGAAAGAAATTCAAGTTTTTCAGAAGACTATAACATATGAAGGTTAGCATGAATTACTAAAGACTTTTGGACGGAATGATTATTATAATGAAAAGAAAGAAAGAAAGAAAGAAAGAAATTCAAGTTTTTCAGAAGACTATAACATATGAAGGTTAGCATGAATTACTAAAGACTTTTGGACGGAATGATTATTATAATGAAAAGAAAGAAAGAAAGAAAGAAAGAAAGAAAGAAATTCAAGTTTTTCAGAAGACTATAACATATGAAGGTTAGCATGAATTACTAAAGACTTTTGGACGGAATGATTATTATAATGAAAAGCAAGCAAGCAAGCACGCAAGAAAGAAAGAAAGAAAGAAAGAAAGAAAGAAAGAAAGAAAGAAAGAAAGAAAGGAAGAAAGAAAGAAAGAAAGAAAGAAATTCAAGTGATACAGAAGACTATAACATATGAAGGTTAGCATGAATTACCAAAGACCTTTGGACAAAATGATTATTATAATGAAAAGAAAGAAAGAAAGAAAGAAAGAAAGAAAGAAAGAAAGAAAGAAAGAAAGAAAAATTCAAGTGAAATGGAAGGCTATAATATATGAACGTTAGCAGGAATTGCCAAAGACATTTGGGTAGAATTATTATTACGATGAAGAGAAAGAAAGAAAGAAAGAAAGAAAGAAAGAAAGAAAGAAAGAAAAGAAAGAAAGAAAGATATTCAAGTGGTACAGAAAATAATAATATGGGAACGTTAGAAGGCATTTGTGCAAAATGATTATTATAATGAAAAGAAAGATAGATGCTCTTTCTTTTGTTGAACCGCACCTATATGTGTGTGTGTGTGTGTGTGTGTGTGTGTGTGTGTGCCTGCGTGCTCGCGTACGCATGTATATAAGCGTATGATTTTGTTCTCCCATCTATTTACTATGACCCTCACTGATATAAAAGTTGGCACAAATATGTTTTTAATCCGAAACAGATGTACCTTTCATTTAAAATCTAAAAATGCAGCTTTAATAGTAAAACACATTTGCAATCTAATATAAGTTCAAATGCATTGTCTCTTCACTGCATCAGTGTGAAAGTGAACGCAACACAATATTGTCGCTGATTTCACTTTCCAGGCCGATAATCGTTACACTACCCAGACATCCAATATTATTTATATATAATTCCTATATCTTCATTTACCGAGGTTACAACTCAGGCTATATTAAAAATATATTAAATCAATATTAATGGCTGAAGAAATTATAAAAGTTAGTGTAAAGGTTATTAAATTTTAATTATATAAATGTCACAAGATATTTCATATATTTGGAGAGAGGCAATAAACACACAGGAAAAAATATATTGTTAACGTATACAAATATCTTCAGACACTGTGAAAGCAGAAATTGAAAATATTACCAATCGCAAATATGTCCATATACATTGCCTGCTCTAGATTTTATCGGCTTCAGAGAAAATAAATGTAATTTATATGAACGAGAACGCCTTCGGTTCCAAGCTTAATTATATTCTTTAACATGGCAACGCGAAAAGGTTATTTATGGTTAAGTGTTCATATACTGAATTCGCTTAAAAATCATTGACAACTTAATAGAGAATTTTAAAACATTAGATGCTGTCAGTTATGTGACATGCGTGATACACGCTTATGCGATCATGTATCTTTCGATACGTGACTGACGAGGCAGATATTTTTTTCCCGCAGTAGATTGCCATTTCTTTCTGCGGTAAACCAGTTGCCATCCACGGCTATAGATCCCGGTCTGTCTTGCTATTTACCCATAGCTGGGGGGGGGAGAAAAAGA